AAATACATTCAAAATAAGGAAAAAGGCATGCATATTTTTACCTCGTTTATTTTACTTTCCCTGAACATTACACGCCTGTTGAATATATAGAAAATCGCATATGGTACTATAAACATAATTACACACAATGCTTTTAGGGAACTATTAACTTATGCTGTTTCTTTACAAATTTGCTGGACAAGACGGGAAAGGTACATTTTCTAATGTTTACATGTTCTCCGTGATTTTTCAATGCGAAAAATTAAAAGAAGTTGCTCTAGTTTAGAGTTACATTTCGTCACTTGTCTATCATTGTCTTACTAAAAATGTGATTTCTTGTCAATAAAACGCCAGTCTTAATGTAAATACTAATAAATATTGAATTGTTTAATGTTGTTTTCTTTAATTAAATTATAATTATTTTATTTTACTATTAAAAACACTTACAAAACTGCAATTGTTGGACACAGTATTTTACCTGACTAAACAGAATGCCCATCATTTTTTGTCCTGAAATATTGGTACTTCGTGCTTTCAATGTTTCTAGAAACACTTCATTTTTCTTGAAAAGTGGTCTCCTATAATTTGTTCCTTTTTTTCATGAATAAAAATCGTATTAATTCTGAAAAATTTGAAGATTATTTTACTTGCTGTTACATTTTTTACAATGTAATACTCATATTAAATAATTCTAGGATATATTACAATGACTGGCTACTCCCAGTATACTTCTCCAATAATGTGCCGTGGCTATATCGTAACCTTGATATGAAGAACGAAGCCCAGTAATCTTGACAAAGCATCGGGGAGATTAACATTATTGACTTTTTACACACCTACGACTAGAACAGGGTGCTTTAGAAGGGACTTCAGCGTGAATCATCGGGGTATTATAGTGGACTTTATGAGAAAAGCCACGGTCACAATACCGCGGAAAGTTACGATGTCTGAAATTTCGCAGCGAAAATGGGATAATGCGGGGCTATTATAATGTAAATTTTTAATAATTACGCCGTTCGCTACACCGTGGGTATATTCGGCAATACATTACACTTAACTGCGGTTAACTGCTTATTTTCGATAATAAAAAAATAAGAGAAAAAGTTTGTGTTAACACAGACGGACAAATGGCTTCTAAGAAGACTCCTGAAAGTTGTTTTTCCTCCCTGAATCTTATCAAGAAGAAACAATAATATTTGAAAAATTTTCATTATAATTTCCAAATTTTGGTCAAAGATTGTTATTAAATCATCTCTCTACCTTTTTTTTACTTGGAGTTTCCCCATAGTTTGCTTCAAAAATTAGAAATTAAATAATATAATAATAATAAAACAGTGATCTTATATCATTTCGATAAGTTGCACCATTTTGAGAATCACATCGATTTAAAATAAAATGTTACTTGCCATAACGATGTTTGTTCCAAATTACTCCGATTAACTTACCTAAAAAAAAAAAACAGGAGTGTCGATTATTTGGATATTTTGTGCGAAATTGAATTTAGAGAAACTGTCGTCTTTCAATAGGGTTGGCGTTTCGTTGTCCGGACATTTGAACCCTCTCGTTGGGTGCCTTGTCGCGGATTTACCTTATTCTGACTCTTGTTAGGCATATATTTCGCACAGTTATAGAGCCATGTCGTAAAACATGATTTTGTCCACCTGTACTCTCCATCAGTGGAGGATAGTTACTTTGAAATAGTTTATAACAATCTAATTTTATTTTTTGTTGTTTGGTCGTATTTGTTTTGGTACCTTCGTTCACTCTGACCCACCCTCGTAATGGCATGATTTCCTGTAGGCTTTTATTTGAGCCTGGTTGCACTAAACGTTTTGGCAACACTTCGAGTATGGTTACTCTGGTCACTGCATTTTTAAGGTTTGCCTTGCCTAGCACTGGTTTCGATGTCACCTGTGGGTATCAGAAATAGAAGCTTCTTGAAACTTGGTTAGGTCATCTATGAGCACCTTTGGGCAGCTTCTATAAGTTCATTTTATTCCTTGGGATCTTCACCGCAGAACTGCACTATGCCGGGTGGATGGGGCGCTAGAAGGTCTAGGCCGGAAGCAATGTGCTCGAAAAAATGTTGTGAAATTTTTTTAACAGTCTGGGTTTCTTTAAACATGTGTCTCTACTTTGGGAATGACTCTGCGTAGGGTATACTTGGAGACGGCTTTGTGGTTTCGATTGGAAAGTTGAGTGAAAATTTGAAATTCGTTCGGAACTAGGAATACGACATAACGACATTGTATAAAATAAGTTTGTGGCATTATAGACTAGTAAACAAAAAACATAACAGTAATGTTCAGTTCCAAATTTAATCTTTTACCTGCATTTCGGTTTTGAAAAGCACTATTTTCAGTGTTTTGTGTTTATAAAAGAGTTATTTTCAGTCGCAGAATTCGCAAGTAAGATAATATCTATATTATAGGCAAACTTCGGAGCATCCTGTTTAGTCAAAATTATAAAGCCAATAAGGTTAATATCATTTATAATTAAAATGAAAATTCTATTGTTTTAATATACAGGGTGTTTCAAAAAGGTGTTGTCAAACTGGAGGGGGTTACAGACGACATTGCGGTAGAAAGTTTTTGCATATATCTAAACCCCTTATCGGAAATGAGCCGTCTTGGTCCTGGAGCAATTTTAGTCCAAAAACGCACTGTTCTCTTGTTGACACCAAAAGACTTCGATATTTAAGTAATTTTTATTAAGGATAACTCAAAAAAATAGATTTATAATAATTGTTCCCGTAAACCCTTAAAACTAAAATACCACTGTCAAAAATACCCTACATCACAATAAATAAAGAATATATAAATTGCGGTTAACATGCATCAGCTAAGGTTTGAATAAAACAACGATTCCTCCTCGAACAATGACTTCTTTNATTTAGCTACCAACAGTATTTGCATTTAAGACTATAATTTTAATTTCTTACGAATCACATTAAACAGTTAAATTGTAAAACATATATATTATTAATTAAAAAAAAAATAATAATTTTTTTTTGAGTTTTAGATTGTTGTAAACTAACATTTAAAAAAGTAAATCAAAATCAGGAAACGCCATATTTCCTTTCAACACCACAATTCATAGTTTTTATATCGTCTTTTATTTTTTACAGTACCTTATAGAATAATACACTCGAACAATAATTTATTTACACAACACAATAAATCACGTAAAACGACGCCAATGCTCATCGCGTGGGATAACAAACGACAAACAGGTTCATAAAATAGCTAAAATGCTTTTGTAACTACGCCACTTTGTTCCCATACCAAAAGTGGGGGGTGCGTGCACCGATCTGCGCGAATACCCCCACCACGCCAACTTATAATTCTGGTTGTTTTATCTTCTGTGACTGCACTATGCCGGGGGATGGGGCGCTAGAAGGTCTAGGCCGGAAGCAGTATGCTCGAAAAAATGTTGTGAAATTTTTTTAACAGTTTCGAATGATCAGAAATAGATTTATTGTTAAAATATACAGGGTGTCCCAGAATAACGTGTACAACGGAAGACCACAGATTTGTGGACTCAAAATAGGCAGATTTAGGCTAATTCACCTAGATCCGAAATCACTTCGTTTGGCCGCTAGAGGGCCTCAAAGTTCGTGAAAATTTTTTGAATTTTGTAAATAACTCGAACTCAAAAAATTTTCACGAACTTTGAAGCCATCTAGCGGCCAAACGAAGCGATTTTGGATATAGGTGAATTAGACTAAATCTGCCTATTTTGAGTCCACGAATATGTGCTCCTCCGTTGTACACGTTATTCTGGGACACCCTGAATATTTATTACAAACGGGTAAATAAATATTGTTTTGCAGAGGCTCTATATAAATCAAAATAGTAACAATTTAAAACGTACTACATATACGGGCCAGGTTCCGTTACCGTTTAATAACGGCAGGGCATAAGGGTCGACATTCGGGCCCATTCCTAGATGGATCCCAAAGATCCTGTAGCGAAGTTCGCCTTGGGTTTGGACAATTGGCCTCTTTGGATTTTACCGACAGTTAGAAATTTTCAATGTTCGAAATTAGAAACTAAGGTAAATTTCCTATTTTAACAGCACGTCGTTGGCGGCTGCTCAGTCGACAGCGTCCGGCCGTGTCGTCTGCTGCTGTTTCTTACGAGCTGCAGTGAACATTTTTGACAACTTTGTTAAAAATGTTAAATCCACACTGCGCCTTCTACTTCTTGTGGAGGGTAGTCTGAGTTTCTTTAAACATATGTCTCTACTTTGGGAATGACTCTGCGTCGGGTATACTTGGAGACGACTTTGTGGTTTCGATTGGAAAGTTGAGTGAAAATTTGAAATTCGTTCGGAACTAGGAATACGACATAACGACATTGTATAAAATAAGTTTGTAGCATTATAGACTAGTAAACAAAAAATATAACAGTAATGTTCAGTTCCAAATTTAAACTTTTACATGTATTTCGGTTTTGAAAAGCACTATTTTCAGTGTTTTCTCTTTATAAAAAGAGTTATTTTCAGTCGCAGAATTCGCAAGTAAGATAATATCTATATTATAGGCAAACTTCGGAGCATCCTGTTTAGTCAAAATTATAAAGCCAATAAGGTTAATATCATTTATAATTAAAATGAAAATTCTATTGTTTTAATATACAGGGTGTTTCAAAAAGGTGTTGTCAAACTGGAGGGGGTTACAGACGACATTGCGGTAGAAAGTTTTTGCATATATCTAAACCCCTTATCGGAAATGAGCCGTCTTGGTCCTGGAGCAATTTTAGTCCAAAAACGCACTGTTCTCTTGTTGACACCAAAAGACTTCGATATTTAAGTAATTTTTATTAAGGATAACTCAAAAAAATAGATTTATAATAATTGTTCCCGTAAACCCTTAAAACTAAAATACCACTGTCAAAAATACCCTACATCACAATAAATAAAGAATATATAAATTGCGGTTAACATGCATCAGCTAAGGTTTGAATAAAACAACGATTCCTCCTCGAACAATGACTTCTTTATAAAACCTATTGTTTTAGATACTTCCAAGAGACTGACAAAATCGGATGCAGACTATGTGGATGTCATCCACACCGATTCAGGTATTTTTGGTTTTCCTCTGTCCATCGGTCATGCAGATTTTTTCCCAAACGGAGGAAGAGCTCTGCAGCCCGGGTGTCAGCCTAGCTACTTAGTTAGGCAAAGACTAGTGAACCAAGTCTGTAAGTAAATTAAATGATCGAAAGTCCACATTGATTCTATTCGTACAAAAATAAATATCTCATAACATTTAAAGTGAAAATCAAATTTTTTTATTTATTCTCTTGAAATATAAAACCCCAAATGTCTTATTGAAGTCAAATATTAAAAACTTGTATATTTCGAAAAAAAAATAATAATATGTAATTTTCATACTTGGACAACATCGTTTTATATTGTATTCTTGTTTTCTGTCTGTAATCATAGTAAGCTATATATCAATTATACAGGGTCGCTAATATGTATGGAAAAGGTCTAAAGTAAGGTAGTTATTGTTCAGAATTTTTTAAATCTATTACAATAAAGAAAAAAATAAGTAAACAGGATCAGTTAAAAAGTCATGATGAAACAAATTTGCTTTTTCTTTAATGAAATACCCTGTATATTACTCCATATTTCAATTCTTCTGGAAATTCTGAAAAAAATACACACATCATGTACCTAAAACTTAGCCGTTTTCGAGGTATTGAACTCTGAAAGCAACTTTTTACTACTCTCAAATTTATCAAAGAAAATGGCCCAAATTAAGTATGGATATTTATTTTGAAAATAACATGAGGTAGGATATAGATATGATTTAATTTTATTATAGTTTTTACAGGAAATAAGGAAGCATAATAGTTCAGAGTTGATAAAAATGCATGAAACGAAAAAATGTATTTTTTAATAAATGTCCTGAATATTTTAATTTTATGAAAGCAATAGTTTTGCCAGAATGAAAAAAGAGAGTAAAACAGTTTTAATAAACGACAAATATTTTCTTTGGAATTCTATTTTATCAAGTGCTCAAGAAGTTCATCATTTACCTCCCGACAGTAATGAATTCGCAGAACAAAATTTTGTAATGAATCTAAAAGGGTGTTGGGAGGAATAGTAGAAATTGTATACCTTATCGTTTCCTGCAACTCTTCGATATTTTGCGGCCTATTTTTGTAGACTACATTTTTTATGTGACTCAGAAAAAAGTTAAGTGGGGTCATATCGAAAGACCTAGCTGGACAGTCAATTGCCCTGCGTCCAATTCATTTATCAAGAAAAGTTTCATCTAGATATGCCCGTACCACACGTTCAAAATGTCGAAGATGTTGAAACCATATTTGTTCTGATAGTAAATTGATATTGTTATTGTTCGGGAAAAATCGGCTAAGCTCTGAAATAATATGTTCTTGCAAAAGTAATAAATATCGTTCAGAGGTCAAAGTTCCGTTTATAAAATAGACTCCTATGACGTGTCCACCAATAATGCCACACCAAACATTTACTTTCTTAGTCGTTGGGTGTCAACTTCCTCTTCCTCCATCCAATGTGGATTTTGGTCTGACCAAATCCTACAGTGTGTTGGTTTACGTTCCTGTTTAAACAAAACGTAGATTCGTCAGAAAACAATATGTGGGTGACAAAGTTGACATTTTCGTTTAATTTATCCATAATAGCTTCGCAGAACTTGATTCATAATCGTCTTCACTCATTTCTTGTAACATACAAATGCATTTTATATGAACGTACATATTTATTTAGAATTTCGAGGAGAATTGAAATATGGGACAATATATAGTGTGTTCCAATAAAGATCATATATACATAAGTCTCTTTTTTGTAAAATATTTAAAAAAATCCTAAAACGTTTGTGTCTTATGATTTTTGGATAGCTATCTTACTTCAGGAGATAATTTATCGTTTTCATACATATCAGCGACCCTGAAATTTCCAAATAAAAAAGCTTTTCCTCTTCATGGCACAGTCATTGGAAACACTGTGTAAATGAATGTGACGACATATTTTTATGAGACCCAACAAAAAATCAACAGAACAAATGTATGCTGTACAATTTATTTATATTTTGTCTTGTTTTGATTAACAAACACTTCTTTCCGCCTATTCCAATCAATATCATTTTACAGTTTACGTGTTAGAGTAGTTACAAACAAACTGGGTTTTCAAAGATACCTAGCTATTAGTTTTGGTCGATAGTGCACACATTTAATTATTTCAGTGGCATGCAGTCACGTGAGGGCGTGGAGACTGTACGCGGAGTCGGTAAGGAGAGAAAAGGCCTTCCCAGCCACTAAATGCAGCCTTTGGAGAGGTCCCAACAAACAATGCGACTTTTCCACGGACGCATATATGGGTTATGCTAATGCCAAGTAAGTTATTGCAACTAGTTTCGGAGAGTTATTGCAATGGAAACTGGATAATTTAATTTCGGAGGAGCGCGATTTATACCCGATATCGCTGAATATATGCGATGAAAGAGTGTTTGGAGGAAGTCCTGGATGCTCTTTTTAAAATAACAAAGTTGGTGTCGCTTCGCTGAGATTGCTTTGTTTGTCAGTGTGATTTATAAGGCAGATCGCGGAGGTTTACAGTCTTTGTTATTTGTGTGCTGAGGTTCGCCGAAGTCAACAATTCCAGAAGCAGTAAAACTTTGAAGTTTGAGAAATTCAATTTTTCAGAACATTACAAAATTAGTTACTTAAATATTTTGTCTTTACTGTTTAATATTTATTGTTTTTTGTTTATTAATATTTATTTTAAACAAAGTTTTTTTTTATACGAGTACGGATATACTGAATGTAAGTACATTACTGTTTATGTTTTTTAGTACAACAAAGCATTGTGTTTTATTTAAATCGCCTGATCACCACCTGCACTGGAAAGTGACACTCAACACGCACTGGATACGGCTTTGTTGGTCATTACTATTGATAAAGCTGTGGTACTGATCTGAGTACACCGGCTGCCAACACCGGCAAATAAAAAAATCCAAACCCAAGAAACCCACATATCATTTCCGAAGGAATTCGATGCGCTGAACACGATCCTGTAATGACGATCCTTTAATTCATGTTCATGTTCATTCATGACTTCACAACAAATTTCGGAGAAAAGTGAACTTTTTGGGCGAAAACGGGTCAAAATTAATTTTTTCCTAAATTTTGTCTAAATATATAATTTTCGTAGTATTTTGAGGCGCTAAACACGATGCAGTTAGTAAAATATATCTCTGACCTCGATATTTCTAAGAAAATTCAAAAAGTAATTACTACCTACTCATTTATTAATAACATCTTTAATATCCATGAAAAATGATATATTAAAGCATAGTGTATAGTAATTTTGATTTATCATTTAATGTAGTTGTAATAATTATCATGCACAATTGTTTTCGAAATATCTAATATAGGTACTATATGTAGGCTTATTAAATGTAATGTTTAATAGTTTCATTTCAGTTATTACCAATCATTGGTAATATAATGGTCTGCATCATACCTGCCATCTAGTGACTAACTTTAAGTCTTTTTCTAACATTTTCCATGGTTTCTCCAGAAACAGCATTATTCATCAATTTATAAAAAAAATTTGCTTAATTTTTTACACTCTATTCAAGTCAATATACGGGTGTTTCAGACCATCCGTCCACCCCTTCTGAAATTTAGGGTATCTATTAAAATGAAAAATTCAATACTTCCTAATAGTGAATAGACTATGCCGAATCGATTGGAGGTTTTTTCAACTTCCGGCTACCACCGGAAGTGGACTGGCATACTTTTTCTTATTTATCTGAAAGTGCAGCTCCCGAAGTCGAAGTTGAGCAGTTAAACCACAAAGTATAAAATAAGTATAATATAAAGTCGAAAGCCATTGATTTAATAAATGTTTACAGCGGAGACAACCTCGTTAATGTACATATTTAGGTTACCTAATAGTACACTACTGCGTTTCATTTCTTTGTGTCACTTCTCAGGGGAAGACTTACATTTCGAAAGGCACTGTGGGGTGGAAAACGATGATTTAGAAAAAAAAATTTACAAAGGCTTATTAGTTTTCGGTGTAGAATCGAAGTCGATAAGGAAAAGTATGCCATTCCATTTAAAAAAACTGACTTCCGGTCTGAATAGGCAACTCGCGTAGGTCTCTTATTCGCTTGGCAACATATCCCCACGTAGGGCGCCATGTCGCGGATTTACTTAGGTTGGTCTTCTTTCTACTGTCATAGCCTCACGTTAGATGCCAGGACGTGGATTTTGCTCTGTTGGATAGCTTTCGTGGTGTTGACCTACTTCCATCTTCGCTCAGCATCATAAGAGAGCCGTAGACTCTCATAATGGGTTCAGAAGGGTCGTATCGACCTGGTACGTTTTCACAATAAAGAAAATACAGCAGTTTCAATGCGAATTCCTTTTGTTTGTCGAGTATGCACTCAGGTCAAGCATACTAAACGCTGGTTAAATAACTGCATGAATCCAGTGATATTTTTTTGATCTGACAAATCGATTTGTAAAATCCAGTTACCACCAAATTTAGAACATAAACATAAATTTTACTTTTTCTTTCAAAAATAATATCAATAGGATCTGTATGCAACAATGAATTTACATAGATATTATTTGACATTTATAAATACACACATTGATATTGAATTGCTACACTAATTAATACAATCTTAAATTTGACTCATTTTGCTTTATACTATACAGATATGGCCAGGTAATTTTCGCATAGACTAAGTGAATTACACGCATCTCCCCTATCAACTTCGGGTGGAAGGGGTCGGACATGACATATATCATCGAGGCTGCGACTCGGACTCTCGTAATTGGTTGGCTGTGGGAGCGCACGTGCCCCGTTGCATTTTTTGTGAACCAACCGAATACCTAAAGCGCTTCGCTGTTTGTTTAGTTTTATTTTTATTACTATTCCACTCAAACCTTTGGTAAGAGGTAGATGGAATATTACAAAATAAAAATGGTGTACAGTGTCGAACAAAAGATTAATATTATTAAATGGTATTGTCGTGCAGAACAGATTAGGGTTTTGTGAAGCTCAAGCAGGTGGTTTGAACACCTTATTAGTTAATAATAAGCTTGTATTTAATAAGCATTTGAATATAATTCACTACTTTGCTTAAGAATTACCACTCATTTTATTTTAGAATACCGATTCAGTTTTTACCAAAGGTTATAAATAATTTGTAATAAAGTTGGAATGCTTTAGCGTGGTCTCAAAACCTCTTATCATTCTTTTAAAAAAGTATCGTACAAATAGGGCAATTACTGTACGTATGGCAACACTTTTGCAATTCCAGGCCGTGGCTTATACTTTTTATCCCATCGCAATAAATCGAAAACGTAATTATTGTCCAATATTCTATCTTCCGTATGTACGTATCTTAGACGTACGTTGTTCCCAAATTCCTAATGCAAGACAGAGACAATAAACCAATAGTCAAGGAGAGCTTAGAACCGCAGGCTTTGTGCACTTCTATGGCGTTTTTTTATTCCCTTATATCGGGTGTAATATTTATATAATTTACTAACTTTGTATCGGAAATAAACATATGGCCAGACCTGTATGTTTATTTTGGATGATAATAGAATATAATTTCAGCATGTTTTCGCCATTTAAGTGTCTAACTAGGTATCTTGTCAATCTTGACAACAAATTTTGAAGAAATTAAGCCATTAAAATGATGATTTACAAATTATTCGACCTCAAAGACTATATTAATCTTATCTCATTCAAAAGAAAATAGAAAACATCATTAATCTGAGATTTAAAAAGCTGCAAAGAAGATAATTACACATCGTATTTTATGCGGTCAAAAAAAAAGCATTACAGTATTTTATACCCCTACAGACTAGGCACTTAAACTATCCATACGGAAAAATCTGCAAAATATGAATTGTTCAAACCTAAGTAGCTATACTTTTATTGGCCAATAAAGTTTCACAAAAATGATTCAGAAAATACCGAGAACATGACAGAGGAATTATTAATAACTTTGTTCGAAGGCTGAGGAAGTTTACTTTCAGCGTTGTTTGGAGAACACTTTCCGAATAACAACGAAACTAATACGGTATTGAGCGTTTGTTTCATTAAAATGGGTTGGAGTTTCTAACAAAGAAATTACATCTGCTAAATTTAAGTACAACTTTCAGTTGAACTTTTTATAAATCATACAGAGCTTTCATAAGTAATTACAAACATATTGTCAACTAAAAATTCCTAGTAAATTATAATACAAATAAATAAATCAACAATTGACCCAACAAGTTACTAAACGAAAATTGACAAATTCAGTGTACTGTGCGTATTTAAGTACATCATTTATTATATGATACAATCTGCGTTCCTGTAGATTATATTTATTTTTCAGTATTTGTATTTCACTGAGTGTTGTTTTGTTTCAGGAACAGGAAAGGCCGAGGCACGTATCACCTAATTACGCATGAAAGCAAACCATTCGGAATTAGAAGTGGACAAGAGAAAGAACTGAATAAAAAAGCCTAATATAATCTACTTGTACCTTTTGTGTACCTAATATACCATTACAGCATTTATGTTTGTACAGTTTAATGTTAAGGATTGTTATAATGTATAGGTTAAACGAAAAAATGTGTACAAAGCCCTAATCCAAAGACTATTCATATTTATTTATACTTAGGAATATTAACAAATAAAAATCAATTTTTAAATATAAAATCTTCTCATTGTAAAATATCGTTTTCTTTAACCATCACTGAAGAACTGGGAACTGATGGATTGAGTGGAAAAAAAATCAAACTTTGCAATAAACAATATGTCTGTGGTAAAGTAAAAAAGGACAGTAATGATTATTTTTTGAGATATTTAAAAAATATGTATATTAGTTGCAGAAAAAGCATGAGATACTAAACCCATAGGTGTGGTTGGGACATAAACATAAGGCTTACTGGTTTTTATAGTCAGTTTTTTTTTTATAAAATTTGAGAAACTAAAGTTTTTTACATTGGGTATTTAAAAAAATATTTCACATTAATCTAGTTGACAAAAGTTCTGTTTTGTATATAATTCTGTTCTATTATTATACATATACATTTATTAATTTCATTTGCAATGAGGCTACTTCAAATAGCAACCCTAAAGTAAAATCTAGGAATGGTTAAAACCTTATTTATCATGGCTATTTTTGAATGATGCTAAAAAGCAACATTCACACATTACGTATCTATGGTATAGTAAATACGTTTTTCTTCTGGAGTATAATAGAAAATGTGCGTGAACTATGTCATTCTTACATTACTTACGGGATAAGAGTAACCTTAGATATTAATGTTAAAGGAGCACGAAACAAGCTAATTCACTCAGAATAACTTACGCCCTTTATCCGTTTCACAGACCTTATGACTAATGTACGACAAATGCTAATTTCATCATGCAACAATTATGTTTGCTCCGTTCCTTTACGCTCATAGTTTATAAATGGTCGAAATGTTCTGCAAATTTAAAACTCGAGATGTTTTAAAAGACTGTATTTTCTTTTGCCAGGAATATAGGGTTATTAGTTATAAATCTTAACTTTTTTAAATTTGGAAATAAAATTAAATACGAACTACATACAATCTGGGACTTAGTAATGGTTACGAAGTTAAGAAGCAAATGTATTTTTTAAATGGAAATCGTAGCTACGGTTTATATATTATAAATATTGCATATTTTTATTTCTGATAGAAACACAACTGCTAATTTAATTTAATTTTTTCATAGACCTTATGCATATCTGTTAAAATAACCGCAATCAATATGTACAGGGTGATTCATTAACAATGGGAAAGTCAAAAGCTGAAGTTACTACACGTGAAATGGTGACCATTGGCGCAAACATGCCTTATCCGAAAGTTAATAGTTTCGGAAATACAGGGTGTTGAAAGTTAAAATTGTAAATCGTTTTTTTGCGATTATTCTGAAAATATGTAGGTTAGGAACTTGAAAATTTGTGAAACTATATTTTTTTAGGCGACGAATAAGATGCGTGTTGTAATTTCAGCATTGCTCATAGAGGGCGCCACTTACGACCAATTTTACCGAAAATTTAGTTAATAACTTTTTACCTTGTATATCTAACATGAAACTTCAAAACCTGAAAGAGGTATCATTTTTCCATTAAGTATGTACTCTTGTTTCATTTCGGTATCTCCATCCGTTTTCGAGAAAAATCGATTTAACGAACACTATGTTTTGATAATATGAGAAATTAAAAGCGAAACAAACCAAGTGTTTCTTCGTGTTATTACAACAATTAACAATAAAACAAATAAAATAGGTAATTATGATTTATAGTCATTGTTCGAAGAATCCACCGTTGACACTGATACATTTACACGTTTTCTGATAGATCTTCGAGTTTGAAACAACATATTGGGATTGCGTCTGACTTCGTTGGCAGCGATTTGTATTCTTTGCCACAACTCTTCACACGAGCCAATATATTATTTGTAAACTATATATTTCATTCGAGATCAAATAGAAAAATCAAGAGGATTGAAGTCCGGACTTCTGGATGGCCAAGCAAAAATTATTACATGACCAATCCAGCGATTTGGAAAAACTGCATTTAAATATGCACGCACTGGCCAAGAAAAATGCGGTGGAGCTCCGTCGATTCTATAATTATAAATAATATTTTAAAAGCTGTATAATAAACTAACCCCATGGAATTCTATCTTTTTTGCTAAGAGATTGTGCAATACTTTTGACATTGGCTATTTTTAATTATGACACTTTAAACGTTAAATTTCCATTATACATATTTGAATTAAAGGCAAGATCTGTCCTATATTCAAGAAAGGTAACAATTTAATTGAAAACTACAATCACATTGCAATTTTAGTTATTCTGCATAATAATTTGTACTTTCATGTTAAATGTCAATTTTCTATTTATTAACATCTTAAAACAATATTGTTAATGTTACCTATATAGTCGATATTTGTGGACAGGTTGATGTAGTTTATACGGATGTGTCAAATTCAACCTACCTAAAAAAATCAAATTTTAAAACAGTTTCCACATTTTCTTATTTCTGTTTCGTCGAAACTTAAGTATACAACCATCATTTAGAACCTAGTACATGTTAATTAGTCATTACATTTGGAAAAAGTTCAGAGGAAATTTCTTAAATATGTATATGGTTCAGCTTCCGAACAGATGTCAAATTTCAAATCTCCACACATCCAAGGGGACCCATACCAGTCACCACAAGAAGTAGAAAGCACGACATGGAAATTAATAATTTTAACTAAGTTTCTCAAAATTTTCGCCGAAGTTCCTAAGAAATTCCCAACTGTCCCTAAACACTGAAACCTCAGTAGACCACACCACCAGAGGCCGATACTGTCAACAGAACAGCCGCCGACGACACACTACAGAAATAAGAAACGCATAATATGAAATTCGAACTAGGGAACTGCAAGATAAAATCAAAGTACCACATTAGAAAACAAGTCGATTATTAGTTCCATTTGTCGACAATCCAAAAATGCGTAAAATCCATCGGCTTATTATCCAAACTTAAGGCGGACATCGCTACAGAACTTTTGCGGACCTTTCAAGGACTGTGGTCGAACGTCGACCTGATACCTTTCCGTTCATTAACCAGGAACGGAATTTGGACAGCATACGTTTTAAAGCCATGCAAATGAATAACGCAATAACAGCCCTACAAAAAAAGTGGGTGTTGCGAAAGACATATAATATCTACATGCTTTCGGATGGCTAAATCCGAATCCGGCGTCCGTTTGACCCGATCAGGTCTGGTTTAAGGCCAATTCAAGAACAAATGTAAAGTATTAATTTCCAACAAAGTAAACCTACAGATTTAAGTATTTTTATGCGTATTAAAATTTGAGTAAGAAATAAGATTAAAGAATGAAAGTTGTAACTCTGAGGTCGTGATTATGAAGTATAATTAAGTAACTTTAAACCAATGTGTCCGTTAATGCTTCATGAACATTAATTTACACAGAGAGTTCTGCATGGATTTCTTTTACGTTTTCTCTATTTCATTGGTAAAATATCGTTTTATCAATCAGCAGTAATTTGTTTGGTTTTGAATCCCAAAGTAAATAATGTTATTGAGTTTGAGGAGCAGGGAGAAAAATCCAACAAGATATTAAGGAAATGGAGTTTCGATACCAAGGCAGATGCGATATAAATGTACTAACCGATTACTGCTGGTCGTTAAAAGGACCATTGAAATCGAGAAAACGCAAAAGAAATCCACTTCACAGATCTTTTGACAACAAAATAGTTCAATACCACAAAAGTAAATAGTAATCTCGATACCGTAATAGTGAGATATAGTGATTTCATATTATTCGTCTAGGCAAAAAACCTCTTATCTTGAAAAACTGTTCTCAAAAATCTCGATCGCCACGAACTCACTGAATTAACGGACACTTTGGTTTAAAGCTTACTTAATTAGGCTTATTGATACTTAAAACAATTGACTCACGGGTTCAGATTTCTTTCATTGATCTAATTTTTTATACTCAAATTTTAATTCGCATAAATACTTAACCAAAGTGTTTTGGATTTAAAATTTGAGAGTATTTAACCTGATCGGGTTAACGAACCTCATATTCGGATTCAGCAACCACAAAAACGTATAGATATGTAGGTTTCCTTTGCTGGAAGTTGATTCTCTACATTTGACCTTTAACTAACCTTAATCTAGAGCTAATCGAGTCAAACAGACACCGGATTCGGATTCAGCGACTCCAACAACATATAGGACATGTAGGTCTCCTTTGTTGGAAACTGATTATCTACATTTGTCCTTGAATTGACCTTAACCCATACCTGATTGGGTAAAAGGGACACCGGAATCGGATTTAGCGACCCCAAAAACATATAAACACCATGGTCTTGTCTTTAGGACCTCCCATTTTTTTGTGGGGCTGTGTAATCAAATACTTGTTTGACATATTTTAACAATAAAGATTAATTAAAAAAATTAATGAAAGCTCCTAGAAACTTCCCAAAATTAACAGGTACTCCTGGAGGGCCTACGCAAGCTATTCGAAGGTTCTAAATATTTCAGGGACTCACCTCGAAATCAGTGCTAGGCAAGGCAAAGCCTAAAGGATAGTGATATGGACACCAAAGTACTACTCGAAGTGTTGCCAGAAAACATTAAGTCCAACAAGTCTCAGTTGAAAGTCTCCAAGAACCTGTGCCATCCGGAAGGTGTATCGGAGTGGAAAAGGTAACTAAACAAATGAGATCATTTACCACATTTCTAGGAATCTACCTCTCTTCCGATTGAGGACAATCGTTTAGTACAACACGACAGCGACGTATATACCCCAAGTGTCCGTTGAGGTTGAATTATGAGGACAAACATCTCGTTTGCCCCTTTACCGGCGAGCAAGAGACGAGAGTTCCAGCACCGCAGATTGAGGATCTCGGTCAAAATGTCGATTGTCCCCATATTAGGGGTAATTCCCAAAGACGGTGAAAAACGACAATATCTTCTTTAGACTCGACAATATTTATTCTATCAGAGGTATTCCACAATATAATTTATTAAGTAGATTTA